AAAAAAATCTTGTGTTATTCAAAAATATGACGATTTTAATGAATTTTCTATTGAAGTGGATTTTGTGAGACTTTTTAGTGAGAATTATAATAGGATGTTTCTCTCACAATCTCACCATAACTCCTAGGATTTTTTGAAATTTCTCTATTGCTGTGTTTCACAATCTACTATAGCCTTTTCTAAAAGTCAAGGTATGTTCTTTTTTTACTCGTATATTTTCCCAGGTTTTGGTATTGCTCCTTCATGATTAATGGTTGTGTTTTTCGTCCGTATTTACCAGGTATTGATATTTATCCTTCATGATTAATGATGTGCTTCATTATTATTATTTTACCATAGTTGTATAGAGTTGACGATAAACATGTACGTGCTCACGTCTTCAAATTGAAATTGAACTAATAAGCTTATTACATACATTCTTCGTCGACCTTCTTCTTTTGTATATTGTTTGAATTATAATGAGCATAAAATCCTAATATTCTTCGTGTTTGGCAATGATAGATATTAAAAATTTATCAAGTTTTGATATTTCTCCTTCATGATTAATGATGTGCTTCATTATTATTATTTTACCATAGTTGTATAGAGTTGACGATAAACATGTATGTGCTCACGTCTTCAATATGAAATTGAACTAATAAGCTTATTACATACATTCTTCGTTGACCTTCTTCTTTTGTATATTGTTTGGATTATAATGAGCATAAAATTCTAATATTCTTCGTGTTTGGCAATGATAGATATTAAAAATCCTAATAATCCGACGGCAAGCTTTATCAAATGTACATATACATATATATATGTGTGTGTGTATATATATATATATATATGGGATAAATATTTTTACAGCCACATTAGATAATATTATCTACAAATACTCTTTTTATAACTATGTACTGCAGGTAGTATATAGTTATAACATTAAAATTATTTTTTCTCTCTCCTCATTCACTTTTCAGAACCTGTCTGCTGACGTTGAGAGAGAGAAAAATAATTTTAATGTTATAACTATGTACTACGATAGTACATGGTTATAAAGGATAGCTCTAGATAACCTTATCTAAAGTGGCTATATAAATATTTTTTCTTATATATATAAGAGCACATGCATATTTAATGAGCATCGTATGCAATTTGTATATGCATCTTATCTCAATTGGAGACAACAATATATGTGCTTTGTTTTTGTAAGCATGTGCTATTTTTTTTTTCTACACAGTCATTAGCTTATTAAATCTTCTTTTTATTGTTTGTTGATTGAACTATTTAACGTTGGGTTTGCTTTACTTATTTGAATAAACCTGTTTTTAAATTGTGTTGATATTAATCTCATTTAAAATTATTTCAATTATTATCTAGTTTTAATTTTATTATAGTCAATGGGGGATTCACAACAAGGAAATAAGAAAAGAAATGGCAAAGAGAAAGAGAACTGTGAATCTTAGACCATGGATGATACTAATGAATCTTCGCAAAGAATGTCATTCTGATGAATTTGCAATTGAATCAATAGATGCATCTTCCTATTCAGTATCACCAGTTAATGAAGAAGATAATTTCCAACCCATTGGTCAAACTCAAGAGCAGGAAAGAGAAGATGTTAATGCATGGAGGACTACTATAGCTTTAGATATGTGAAGAGCTGTTGCTTAGTAATTTTGAATGTTTGTTAAAAATTATATTAGGTTTTACTGATTGAGAAAATTATATTAAGTTTTACTTTTTTATTAATATCATTGCATTTATTTGTTCTTTTTTTACTAACTCTTGTAATTTTGAATGTTTGTTAAAAATTCATATGGTTTTTTAAGATCTTATAAATCCATATTATTCTTTCAAATCTTATAAATTATATTAAATTCCTCTTAAATCCAATCTTATGAAATCTCGATTGTAAAAAAAGTCTTTAAAGTCCGTTCAATTCTAAATAGTCTTTTAAAATCTATAAGATTTTTTATCTCAAAAAAAATCTTTTAAAATCCTAATCCAATACACCCCCTAAGTATTTTCACCCAGAAAGGAATTACGACTTTAACGAACTGAATAACCAGTGTCTTTTATGCAAGTTAGATCTTAAAGTCTACCTAGAACAACAATTTTTTCAAATTAAAAGTATTTTAATAAAGAAAGCTCCAATTTCATGGTTGCAGGTAACTTAATAAGAGGACATCCATTTATAAACTGAAGGTAAAAGATCATAAAGAATAATTTGGAATCCAAAATAAGCAAACTTTCTAAGTTAATCTTTTGAAAAATTTGATCAAGTAATCTCCTTGCCTGATCGCTTTTATGGTTGAAAACACACTATATGCTCGAAAAATTTGCAATTGTAAGGTGGTAAAGGCCTAAATTTCTCAAATTCATCTTGCAACTAACTTAGGTTGGGTTGCATGAAGTAAGATTTCACAAACATATTTTTGTGCCAAAATGCATAGATTTCTTCTTGTAATTTACATATTTGAAAATAGGCCACCTTAACAAAACCTACCCCTGAAATCTTCCCAGCCTCATTGGCCTCAACAATCCACAAAAAAGTTCTATGCTAAAAACTGAGATATGGAATGATTGATCTATTTTAGGACTATAGTGTTACAACACTCTTAAACACTATGCATAACGTCCATAATTTGGGGCTCCTAAATGCTGGACTTGGCAATTTACACAAGTCAACATTGTAGACACTAGATTCAGCTTAGTATTTCATTTCGATGCAAGTAAATTGGATTTAAGAGGTTCTAGAAGTAATCTAACGTAAATCCTCAACGAAGCTCCTTGAAATTCAAGAAAGGTGAAGAGAATATGAAAATTATTAGCTAAAGCAGAGCTCTAATTTTAAAAACAACATATGAACTGATTATGGTATGTTACTCAATAAATAAAAATTTATACAATTATTTATATGGATGAGCTATAATACCTATGATCAGGGACTCAACTAACATGTTTAACTAGGAAAGTGACAAGTAGCATAATTACATAACTATTTAATTACTATTACAACTGGAAACAATGGCTGAGTCAACAGGATTAGTTGGTGAAGGTTGTAGTATATTCCATCTCTTATAGTTTATAGATTAGTTAGCTGTCATTAACAATGCTTGTTTAGATTGTTGTACGAGTATTTAGCTGGCCTAGCTTTCAACCATGCATATAACAAAAATAAAAAATACATTGCTATAATGAAAAGAATTTTTTCACTAGCAATACCTTTGAGTAATTTATAAAATAACTAATATTGTTTCACAGTCAACGAGTTGTAAAACTTACATTAAGATTAAAACTACAAAACAAACTGTCATGACAGTACGTAAAAAGACATAATTGAGTTTAGCCATTAGCAAGAAGCAATTATCAATTTAGAAAGGGAACTGATTGATACATAACAAATTACACAAATTCATTTCACATGACAAAGTAATTTTTTTTATCAAACTGGTTTAATTACTCAATCATTTATAAGTAACCACAACTTCAAACTACAAATTTTATCATCTATAACATTTAAATGCATTGGTTATTAATCTGACCATAAAATATCCTATCAAATCGTGTACGATTGAGTTTGGTCTAAATATTTAACGCAGTGAATGGATAACAATGGGATCAATGCTTTATTACGCGAGATAGTGCCATGGGATTGGATCTTTAATGTTGCAATATAGTGTTTTGAGTGAATAAGAGGGGTTGGGTATATATAAGACACTGTGAGACTTAAGTTAGTATTTAAGTAATAAATGTAAGTATCATGGAAGCACTACTAGAAAATGTTTTTTTTTACGGATAAATTCTGTCAAAAATGGTTAAAATTCCATTGAAAATGATGTTTTCGACGAAATTTTAGACGGAAATGAAGCTGTCGAAAATATCTTCGTGGGTAACAATTTTTTCGACGGAATTACAGATTTCGTTGAAAATTTTTGACAAAATAATTTATGTTGAAAGTTTTGACGAAAAATGAATGAAATTCCGTCAAAAAATCTTGTCTCAATTTTCTACGGAAAATAAATTCCGTCAAAAGTTTTCGACGGAAACTGAATAAAATTCTGTAGAAAAATCTTGTAATGATCTTTGACGGAAAACAAATTCCGTCGGAAACTTTCGATGGAAAATGAATGAAATTCCGTCGAAAAATCTTGTAATGATTTTCGACAGAAAATAAATTCCGTTGAAAGTTTTCGACGAAAAATGAATGAAATTCCGTCAAAAAATCTTGTAATGATCTTCGACGGAAAACAAATTCCGTCGAAAAATGAATGAAATTCCGTCGAAAAATCTTGTAATGACTTTCGACGGAAAACAATTTCCGTAAGTTTTGTAATGATTTTCGACAGAAAACTAATTCCGTCAAAAAATTTCAACAGAAAATTAATATAATTCCGTCGAAAATTCTTGTCTCAATTTTCAACGAAATATTTTTTTCATTTGTTTCTCTACAAAATTAATACTAATTTATGTTTCACACCTGATAAACAAATATAATGAAAGTAACATATCAAAATTATTTGATCTTACTATAATTTATGTGTACAAAAGTCCCTGTCATATACAAAATCAAAAGAGACTTATATATATAAATGTCCAAGACATATACATAAACAAAAGTCTCTGTCATATACTAATCCAAAGAGTCCTATATGAATAAATGTCCAAGACATATATTAATCAAAAGAGACATACATATACAAAAGTCTCTATCATATACTAATCAAAATAGTGCTATATATATAAATGTCCAAGACATATGCTAATCAAAAGGGACATACATATACAAAAGTCCCTGTCATATACAAATCAAAACAGTCCTACATCTATAAATGTCCAAGACATATACTAATGAAAAGGGACATACATATACAAAAGTCCCTGTCATATATCTATAAATGTGCAAGACATATGCTAATCAAAAAGGACATACATATACAAAAGTCCCTATCATATACTAATCAAAAGAGTCTATGTACAATAGTCCATGTCATATATATCCAACAAAGATACAAAAGTCATGCTGGTGGATGACCTGCATGATCATAGTCATCACCTAGGTCCTGAGACGGGGGCTGAGTCTCGTCGTCATCCTCAGTATCTAAAAATGCCTCAGGAAGCCTTCGCAAAAGCTTCTCCATTTTGTCCATTCGCCTCTGCATCATAACCATGAGACTATCTTGTTCCTGACCCTTTTTCTCCTGTTGTGCAGCCTTCTCTTGTTGTTGTGCAACCCTCTTCTCTTGTTGTGCAGCCCTCTCCTCTTGCTGTGCAGCCCTCTCCTCTTGCTGTGCAACTGTACCCTGCAACTGCATAATCAATGTGCGCATCCTGTCATGCTCTTGCTGGGACACTCCAAGTGGTAGCCTATTGGAGAGTCAAGATTTCTTATATACTCCTGCCCGTGTACCTAAACCGTATACCCGTTCTTTACGGTTAACCCCACCAGATGCCTGCACGATCAAATCATTATCCGAGGCAACACTGCTAGCATCCTCTCCTGGAATGACTTGACTGTCTTTCTCTTCCCTAAGTCTCGTAAAGCCATCCTAAAATTTACATAGAAAGTATTGATGTGTTAAAGTCAGGTGCACTAAAACTAATCAGCTTTCAAATGTAAACATTTGGTGTAACAATAGATATTACTCACAGCTGTTGCCTTTGTCTTGTCATTGCACCACCTGTCACGATCATCTTTAGATGTGTGTGTATGCTTGAACACAGCCCAATCCAGGGTGGACGGATCTATGACCCCATCTTCTTGCTGCGTATATATGTACATAAAACAATCGAAACATAATACGCTAAGTATAAAAAATGGCTTACCATTTTATGAATCTACATGCATATGAAAAATTGTAAGTATTCTTACCAACCGCCTTGCATGCTCATGAAATGGAATTGAACCTCCAGAATGTGAAGGTCCGTCAAATTTGGACCTGTTCCTCTTATTTGCTTCAGCCATTTTCTTCCATTTTTCATTAGACTAGTGAACCTTCAAACCATCAAGAACATTTTGTCTCATCCAAGACGTATCGCCCTTACCTTTTCTTATCAAGTTCAAGTGATTTCTGATTATGCCAGTGGTTTTGGTCTTGTATGCTTTATCAAAAAGATATTGGTCATCCGGCAAGTATTTATATTTTTCCTACAAGGATGAAACAAGACAATTTAGAAAAAATATCAACATTAGCTTCAAAAACCTTTAATCATACATAAATATTAATATGGTCAGATTTGAAGGGCAACAATACCATCAATGAGTTAAACCAGTTCTCCTTGACATTGGTTGGAACTGCCTTATATGTAGGGTATGGACCATCATAGTTGCGCTTGATTATACCCCATATTTTGCGCACTACATCGCATGGTTCAAAGCTGAAATAGATTGTAATTTGATTATTTTGATCAATGCATTTAAATTATTGTCAACACTTATATGAAGATGTATTGAAAAAATAGCACAACTACCATTAACATTTCTTGTACTTACTTGCTCCCATTGATGGTCGGTTGTACCCATATACGATTGTCCACAGGATCTTTCTCCCCCCATCGTGGAACAAGATTCTGGATGACAGGCGGAGATGCTCCATAATATGGAGCCTCTAGTGAGGACAGAGCGTGATCTTGTTTAACAAAAACAAGAGATAAAGACAAATTTTTTTCCAATAATCAAATTTGAACATAAATTTTTTGAAATAAAAAAGGTAGAATATGTGCATAATTAGTCAGATAACCTCATTTGCTTCTTCAGTAGAAGCTACAAACGTCTCCTGCGTCTCCGGGACTGCCGATGGTGGTGATTGTGCATTTGGTGATGTTGTTTGCATATGTGAAGAGAATGACGTGTGGTCCTGCCCTCGACAGTTAATGGCCCCTCGTCCATATGTACGTACAGAGGTATTATCCTTACCTCCAGCCCTACCATGTGTACTGTCAAATGTCTTCATCTGCAATAAGAAACATTCATGATTGTTATATCAGTTTACCATTACAATCTCCATAAGAATTGATCATTTGTGAAAATGTAACAAATATTAGTTTACCATTACAATCTCCATAATATGTCATCAAAATTAACAATACATCCAAAGATAAGTATTTGATATACCAAATATTACAACAATTACAACTACATTGACATATCACAAGAAATATAACCACAAACAAACATAATATGTCATTATCCTGCACAGTTCTCTAATGATTGTTTATAATTGGCATTTCATTCTGATTCCTCATTTTGAACTAGGTCTTCTTCTTCTTCAGTCTCCTCAGTTTCATAATCGTCGTGTTCCGCTTCAGATGATGACAAGAATTGTGGTTCCTCAATGTCTGTGTCATCACTATCAATGCTTTGAGCGGGGATTGTCTCTAATTCAGCTGTAGTGTCAACAAGGATCTGATGGATGTCATCATCAGCAATGTGTATAGGAACCTCCACAACATAATCATCTTGGTAAACATTGTCAATTTCATCGGTTTCTTTTTCTCTTGTCACTGGGATAATGTTACGAGCTTTGGTTTTAATTACCCCCAGCCATTCTTGTTCATTCCTGGGATAAGATGTATAATACACCTGCTCGGCCTGTTGAGCAAATATAAACGGATCGTATCTATTGTATCTCCTAGACATCTTAACTTCAACATTGCCATATCGATCTTTTCGTGTGCCTTGTGGGCTAGGATCAAACCATTGACATTTAAATAAAGTTAACTTTGTGTCACCGTGGCCAAGATAATCCATTTGTACAATATCAATTATCATCCCAAAATAGTCAACTTCTAAACTTTCCATTTGCGATCCTCTAACGCAAACGCCATAATTTGTTGTAGCCATCCCTTCATTTGATGATATAGTGGCAAACTTGTATCCATTAATAACATACTTTGGACAACGAATGACGATTTGGTTTGGTCCCCAAGCTAAGCTCCATGCAACATCTTTAGTCGCATTATGAGATTGTTTAACCTACATTGTGTTGTAAAAATTACAAGGTTTAGTACATAACATGCATTGGTTTAACGATACATATTAAACTAGTAATGTGTGCAGAAGTGTTGGTATACATATACATACCGTTCTTGAATACCAAGATGGAAACTCTGTTGATATTTTTTCGTCAAGTTGTACAACTGTTATCAAGGGATTTTGGAGTCTTTCTAAGTTGGAGAATGTCCTGTCATGTTAGAAATGTGTCGGGAATAAGCAACGAGGATATATTGACTTGATGCATAAATAAGATCTAAGAAAATTTATGACAACAAGTGGATATTAGATAAATACTCTAAGTAAGGTGCAACTTCATCGCAATTGAGAAGGGTATATAATATCGCTGTGTTCCTATCAATAGGATCAAGTGTTGCTTTGGTTTTAGTTCCAATTGATCTTCCAGGGTAGTTGAATATTGAATTTTGCATTGGAGCACCTTGACTTGTTCCACATCCATGATCATTTCGTGGGAGTCTTGTCCTTCTTGTAGGAAAATCTGGGGGGTAATAATATGATGCAAATGTTGACATTTTCTCAGTCAGATATGCCTCAGCAATAGAGCCTTCAACATAATTTGAATTCCCAACCTTTTGTTTCAGAGTCCGAATAAGCCTGTGTTTGATGACAAAGTTATACACATTTATTTTAAGTTATAATATCAATAAAACATTCTAATCTAGATCTATTATGAATGAAAATTACCTTTAAAATGGATACATCCATCGATACTGCACCAGGCCACCAACTCTAGCTTCATATGCCAAATGTATTGGCAAATGCTCCATTGAGTCAAAGAAACTAGGCGGAAAAAACATCTCCAACTTGCATATCATTATTGGGACATTTAATTCCATCTCTTGCAATTTTGTCACACTCAATTGAGATGCACATATGTCCTTAAAATAGACTCCTAACTCAATTAGTGCATTCCAAATAGGCTTATGTAATGCTTTGAATGCCCATGGTAGCAATCTCTGGAAGAAGATATGACAATCATGACTCTTCATACCAAATAACTTTGCCTCCCTCATATTAACACATCGGGACATCTTGGATGCATAGCCATCGAGGAATTTAAGATCTTTCACCCACTGTAGTAACTCAATTCGTTTCTCTTTATTGAAGGTGTAATTAGCTTTGGGTTTACTAACCTTTCCATTTGGATGGACCACTAAATGTAAGAGAGGTCGCTTGCAGTGGATCTGAAGGTCCTTTCTTGAATTGTTGGTATCTTTTGTCTTGCCCTTTGTGTCTATCACTGTGTTCAGTATATTCATAAAGACATTTCGCTCAATATGCATGACATCTAGATTTTGTCTCAATAATTAATCTTTCCAATAAAGCAATTCCCAAAATATAGCTCACTTTGTCCAATGGTGAGATTTCCCATATTCCTGATCTTCAACAAAGACTGAAACTTCCTCTGCAGTCGACCTGTATCTCACTCTTAGCCATTCTTCTTCCCCGTTAAGCCTTTGTGGTATATTTGATATTTCTTCCCTGCCATTTATGAATGCATGCTTGTTTTTCCTGTAAGGATGATTCAGTGGCAGGAATCGACGGTGACAGTCAAACCATGATACTTTACGACTATGTTGCAACCTGAACCCTTTACATTGTTCCATACAAATGGGACATGCAAGCTTCCCCATTGTCTGCCAACCAGACAACATACCATACGCAGGAAAGTCATTAATTGTCCACATCAATGCAGCCCGCATCACGAAATTCTGCTTCAATGAAACATCATATGTTAGGACCCCTTCAGTCCATAGAATTTTCAATTCATCTATCAGAGGTCTTAGATAAACATCAATGTTACACTTTGGGTTTGAAGGCCCAGGGATAATACATGACAAAAACAAGAACTCTCTCCGCATGCACATCCATGGTGGTAGATTATATGGAGTAATAATAACTGGCCAGCAAGAATATGTCTTCCCTGTCTTCTCAAAAAGAGCAAACCCATCTGAACATAAGCCAAGGCGGACATTACGGGGTTCCTGAGAAAAATCATTATGTGTTTCATTGAAGTGCAACCATGCTTCGGCATCTGATGGATATGTCAACGAATCAGTATTTCTTTCATGTTCTCGATGCCATCTCATCTGACAAGCTGTCTGCTCTGAAGAGTATAATCTTTGAAGCCTAGGTACCAGGGAAAGTACCACATTTTCTTTAATGGTGCAGTTTTCACCTTTCCATTTTTTGTTACATATTTATATCTATTTTCCCCACGAAATTCGCAAGTATTGAGTTCTGAATGTTCTTTATAGAACAACATGCATCCAGTAGGGCAACAATGTATCTTCTCTCCTTTAAGACCGAGATTCTTCATCGATTTTTTGCATTATAAAATCCTTTGGCAGTGAATGCCCTTTTGGCAAGACATCTCCAACAAACTTCATCCATTGATTGAAGCACCCCTCAGTCATTCGATAATCTGTTTTCAAGCTTAGGGCTGTTAGACAAGTAGATAAGGTAGTGTGTGTCTCACAACCATCCCATAATGGACGTTGGGAAGCTTGAAGCATGTTGAAAAATCGTGTTGCTTCCGCATTAGAATCTTCATGCATTAACTGTTGAATTTCATCTGTGTCACCCTGTAGGTGCGCGCCAATATGTGGACCTGCAGCATCCATGACCAATTGCTCAAATTGTTCATAGTTATCTCAATGACCACTTCCGCCATAATGAGTGTCTGTCAACCACTAGGGGAGGATTTGGCGGAGTTTCTCCATGGCTTGACCAGCAATAATAATCAGGCATGAAGCCGTACTTACACAAATGCACCCTCAATGTGTCTGCATTAAGGAATTTCATACACTTGCACTTTTTACAAGGACGACGGAACTCAGTCATTGAGTTGGTGCTATGTTCTATAGCAAACTGTATGAACCTCTCAATTCCATGCTGGAATTGTAAAGTGATTGACCTTGAACCATCTATGTGGTTGTACATCCAACTCC